GGTGGGGGGAGGCAAAATCCCAAGAGAAGAAGGGATTGCAGCGTGGCTGTCCCTCCCCGTGGGTGATTTCTCATCTTCCCTGTCTCCAATAAGCTCACGTGCTCTATGGCGAACACCTAATACAAACAAACAAAAGAAACCAAGCCTGGAAAAGACTGGCAGGCTGGGCGGTGGTGCGCTGGCTGGGCAGCTGCACCCAGCCAGGTGTGGGCCTGGGTCCGTACCCCGGCCCCCAGCGTGCCGCACGCATGCGCCTCTGGCAAAGCCGTTTGTGGTGCTCTCCCTTTCTCCCCGAAGAAATGAGTGGATAAACTTAGAGCAAGTTGTTGTGAACGCTTTTTTTTTTTTTAAGAGATTTTTTTACTATAGGGGGCGTGTGCTCGCCAGAGAGAAAGCAAGAAATCACTTCTTGGGGATTTGGGGCACACATGTGCACGCGCCCAGCGTGAGTTCCAGCAGCAATGTGGCAAGCACTTGAACAGCATCCCAGAACAAATCTCAAAATGCTGTTTTAGTGCAACACCTGGGAAGATTTGGCGGGCTGGTGTCCTGCAACATGGAGCTGACACGGCCCAGGGAGCACCCCAGGGAGGCCCTGTCCACTGAGTGCACAGGGCCACCCGCATGGCCACTAGAGCCATAACCTACGTTCTAGAAGGGTAGAGGACAGGACTACACTAAGGGAAGACGGAAGGCACACAGACCAAAGCTGGCAATACGAAGGCCCTTCTGGCCGGCCGCTGGTGCAGCGCACCCGGCCTACAGGGCTGGAAGCCGAGGCCGATAGCGTGGGGCCCTGGTCATCCTGCAGACACGAAGCGTGCGTGCGGACGCCCAGGGTGCAGAGCGCCAACCAGAGTCCGAGTCCTGGCTCGCGGCTGCATGTGCACACTGCCAGGGTCCAAAGCGGTGAATTGAAGGAAAGGGGGACCGCATGTGACCAGGCCCTGACATGATGTCCCCACCTCCGCACACCACTGGTGCGCCCTTGTGGCCTCTGGCATTTTTGTTTTCCACTTTTACCACAGGGTGCATTTGCTCGTGTGACCAAGTGGGAGTAGAAAGTGAGAAGCCACCCTGCAGGGGCTGGCATACCACGACCCCTCTCGCCTCCTCATGCACACCTGCCATGTTTTGCAGCTGACTTGTGGGCGCCAGTACCATGACCACTCGGCCACCTGCTGGCCCTCAAAGATCTTTATTCCACGCGCAGCATTGTTATCCTGGGTCGGGCCCTGGAACAGGAAATGGTCGCTAGAGGCAAACTGGTAAGGTCCAAATAAGCGGGCCAGTAGAAACAAAGTGCCATGATGTTTTAAATACTTGGGACCAGCAGTGGCGTAGTGGCCGTGTCGCTGGACTCCCATGTAGTCAACCACAGTTCGAGTCCCGGACCTGGTGGCTTAAACTCGCGCCGGGTGCATGTACATGCGTGCCCCAGATCCCGGGAGGAGAAGGGATTGCAGCGTGGCCATCCTCCCGGGGGGCGAGTCCTTGCTTTCTGTCTCGTTCTGGTGAGCGCACGTGCCCTGTAGAAAAAAACCTTTAAAAAAAAATGACTCATCTAAGGGACCAGTGGATGGCGTGGTGGTTGAGGCACTGGACTTCCACATGGCCGACCATGGGTGGAGTCCCAGACATGGCGGCTTGCTTTCTTGCCTTCTGGTCCAATGAAATAGTAATATTAAATAATTTTTTAAAATACTCATTTAATACAAAAAGCAGACAAAATAGGGAACAGAACAAATGGGCCCCGCCTCTGGCAGTCAGTCGAGTGCTGGCCTATCGGGGCTGAGTCATACCACAACCAACCGCCCAGTGTACTCGGGGTACGTGCTGGTTGCATGTGCACCTGCCTGGGGCCCTGACAGCCTGGGGATTGGGGAAAGGGGATGATGATGTGACCGGGCCGTGGAGGGTGCCCGGTGCTCTCCACCTCGTAACGCACACACCACAGCGCGAAGATTTCCTAGTTAGGGAGATGGGATGCAGAACCGTAAAGCAGGGTAGGGTACTTAAACCCAGCTGTCCCAGCCGGCACGTTCCACGTCAGTGGTCTCAACACTTCATTCAAGGTGCAAAGGTTGTTAGTTTTTGTTTTGTTTAGTTTCAATAACAAAAAATCAAGACCCTTGAAGGCCAGCTAGTGGTGTGGAAGTTAGGGTGGCTGGATCCAACATGGCCAACTGCAGGGCCAGGGCCAGACTAGGCAGGCAGGAGAACACTCAGGGCACATATGCATGCGCGCCCCAGATCCTGAGAGCAATGAGTGGATGGCAGGGTGGCCGTCCCCTGGGGTGCTCTCTCCCTCTAGCTCTCCATGCCTCTCTGGGGAGTGCCGGAGAGTGGTTCATGCTCTGACATGCTCCGCAGCAGCCGGCACGCTGCACTGCCTGTGTCAGACCAAGACGGAGAGCAGAAGACCAATCTGTTGGATGAGGAGCCCAGCCTGGGAGTGGCGTTGCCTGGGAGGACAGGCCTGGCCCTCCGCCTGTCCTGTATGCCCACTGGCATTCCCTTCACTGTCCAGGACTTGCCCACAGCACTGGCACCCAGAGGCTTGCCAAGCCTTGGTGAGACCTGCTGGAATGTAGGACACCCAAGTGCTGATGTCACTTCCTTTTATTGGAGAGGTTTTTGCTATCGGGTGTGTGTGCTCACTGCAGAGACAGCAAGACATCACCCCCTGGGGGTGGCCGTATTGCAACCCCATCTCCGTTCTCTCTGGAGTTTGGGCATGCAGACATACATGCACTGGTGTGAATTTTAAACTGCTGGGTCCAGGACTCAAACCACAGTTGTCTACGTGGGAGTCCAATACGCCATCTGCTGGTCCTGCCACTGTCATTTCTACTGTCATCTTCCTGCCCTGTCCGAAGCAGGCCTTGAACTGTGAAGGGCAGATTGTAGGACGTGAGACTCAAGTGCCACCACGACTTCCACGGCCAGTCCCCATGGCTCACTGGACCTCGGCTGAAGCCACAGGGGCTGCCCCTCCCCATCTGCTTTGGCCTTGCTGGCCGGGACAGGAGTGTCCCTTGCAAGGGCTTCCATGCTGCCCGGGCATTTCCTCTCTGAGGTGCGCGTGGTCACCTTACGTCCCCCACTCCCGCTCTAGCTGAGGGACAACTAGGAAGGCCAGGGCGTTCTCAGAGGGTCTTGGTCCTTACATCTGCCCCAAGGGTCTCACCAGCCTGTGATGGGGACGGAAGTGCGTCTGTGGACCATAGAATGCCCTAAGGGGTCCCGCGGGAAGGAGCAGCTGGCAGGCCTGGCCTGGCATCTCGGCCGTTCCACACCCGGTGGCCACTTCCAGTGTCGGTGCGGCAGGACAGCAGTGTGCTTTCTGGTCCACCTCAAGTCTCCCGGCGCCCTCTGCTGTGCGTGTCGTGCGTGTGCATGTGCGCACATGCCAGAAAGGCCACGTGGGTCTAATTGTGTCCCTGTGAGTCAGCCGTGAACGCTGAGGGGCTGCTCCAGGCTCCCATGCAGCTCTCCTGGACAGGCGTCCTCACCCCAATGCCTTAGAGGGGCCAACTGCCACCCCCCATAAGCCAGCAGGTGCTGGACTCTACAGACGCCCACGCCTGGGGACCTAGTGCCCACCTGTGGGATGAGCACTGGAGCGCCACCCCTCTGCCGGCACTCTGGCCACCTGCTGCCTCAGTTACTGATCCCTGGGCGGCTCCTCAGAGGCAGTTCTGCGAAGCCTCCACCAGATGGCGCCAGCAGCAAACCCTGAGCCCCACCCCTGCCCCCAGCTCCCCAGGTTCCTGGTTCCCTGGTCTCTGGGCCCAAGCCCTGTCCCACTCAGCCCCCCTGGGACAGCCCCTCTGCTCCGTTCCAGACTTGCTGTGTGACCTTGAGCAGCCCCTCTCCCCACCAGGTCTCAGGGGCTGCTGTGTTCTAGTCCTTCCTGGTGGCCAAGAGCCAGGACAAAGCCAGTGGGGTGAGTGAAGGGGGACACGGTGGAGCCAGGGCCGGCTTTGCCCTGCTTGCCAGCCCAGCGGGTGGTGCCAGGCTCCCACCCAGACCTGCAGGGATGGTCTTTGTGCCCTAAGGGGGTTCGGGCGGTGGGGTCAGCGCCCAGCCACTCCTTAGCTTGCACCCAGCAAAATGAGCCACGAACTTGAAAAGCAGTTTTTATTGAATTTGGAGGGAAGTTTCATATAATAGTAAAAATACTAAAGTTGAATGTTGTAAAAAACGCCATGGGCAGCAGCAGTGGTGGCAGCTGGCCAGGAGGGGCAGGCGCCCAGGGTGGCCTCCCCTCCCACAGGGGGTCTGGGTGGGGCCGGGACACAAGGCTGGAAGTGAAGCATCTAGGAGGACAGAGGTGTCACAGGAGGGCCTGGAGCTGGGAGTGGCAGGGCTTCCCTGTCAATAAGGTTGGACCCCCAGCGCTGGCCCACAGTGACCACGGTGGCAGGTTCAGGCTTGTTCCTCTGCCCCTGCGTGGCCTGGCCCGTCCCCAGCCCAGGCGCCCACTGGTGGGCGGCTTCAGAGGATGGCCCAAGTGTGTGGGCTGCCTGTGCCCCGAGGGCGCAGCTGTCACAGTGAGGTTGCTGGGCTGAGGCTCGGGACCCTAGAGACAGGCGGGGGGCAGGGGTGCTGGCCGCCCAGCCGCATGCAGTGGCTGCAGGTCCAGTGACGTTGCCCAGGGGCCAAGGCCACGTCCAGAGGACAGATGGATGAAATAAATTAAGACTACGATGTCTTCCCCCCACCACGCACGTCTTCCCCACGTGGGCAGAGACCGAGGGGCTGTGGCCCTCCGGATGCAGCGAGACAGCAAAACCCTTTTGGCTGGCCGCGGGGCGCCAGGCCGGCCCTCATCAGGCCGTGCCGCTGGCGGAGTAGGAGAACTGCGGGAAGTGGGGCCTCCGCTCGCTGTCCACACACTCCATGCTGTCATCTGCGGGCAGGGATGCAACTCGCTGAGCTCCCGCAGGCACCGCGGGGAGACCAAGGCGCGGCCCGCCCTGGGCGTGGCGAGCCTGCCCTAGAACGCCCAGGCGGGGCCTTTCCCACCCCGGCACTACCGCCCCCAAGGGAGCTGCCCTCCACTGGGGCCGAAGCCTCCAAAGCCGCGCAGGCCGGGTCTGCGCCTCACCTTGGTCAGGTGGCGTGATGGTGATTATCTGGGCGGTGAACTCCTCATCGAAGTACCTGGTGTCCGTCTCAGACGTGACCTGAGGCCTGAAGGGCGGGCTGAGCTGCAGAGGGGCAGGACACAGCCGTCAGGGCCAGGCTCCCCAGCCCTCGCGTGACCCTCTGAGGACCCAGGGCTGTCCGCAGTGCAAAGGGCCAGGCCAGGCCCAGACCCGGCCCAGACCCGGCCCAGACCCACAACTGTGCACACAGCACCCCCTGCAGGCAGCAGGCGGCAGTGCGGCCTGGCTCTGCAAGCCCTCCCTGCCCCTTGGCAGAAAGGGAAGTCCTTTCCTTCTGGTCTTATTTTTCCTGCTGGTTTTCACATAAGTTGGGAAGGAGAGGATAGAGGGGCCGTAGGGGCAGGCAAGTGGTGTGCTGGTTGAGCCGCTGGACTCCCACATGGCCAACCACAGTTCGAGCAGTGGACCTGGTGGCTTGTTTCTCATTTTCTCTCTGGCCAAAATTTTAAAATAATAACAATGATGAATAAAATTAATAACTCTTCTCTTTTCTTTTTTAAAAAGAGGGGATGCTCAGCTGAGGTGTGCAGCGTGAGCTGGCCTACCTCCTTGCTCAAGGACGTGAGAGTCAGGTGCAGGGGACTCGTGTGACTGAGGTGCTATGCACACGTGAGCCAGCCCTGGTCCTGCAGCCAGGGACCTCTCGGACAGTGCTCCCGGGCGTGTTCTCGGGGTGCCCTGTGCCACGGGGGACTGTGGCCTGGCCAGCCTGTGGGGCTGATGGCAGCATTCAGGGAAGGGGCGGCCTGACGCCAGCACCCAGCATGTCCCACCCGAGGGTGCCAAAGCCCTGGGGAGGGAGCCTAAGCCCGCACATGGCGTGTTACCATGGGCTTCTGTGACCTCCAGGTCAGCCCTCTGACCGGCTCGCCTCCGTGCAAGAGGACGGGCCCAGAGTCCCACGAGGACACATGCAGGGCTGCCCCCAGCCCACAGGATGCCAGAGCAGACCCTGACAGCCCTGGCAGCAGGAGGGGCATGTGCACAGCAGAGGGGCTGGGGGCTGCCGAGCACCACCGAGCCTTCAAGCAGCCTCATGGGCCGGCCCGCGGCAGGGCCCTCAGCGGTACCTCCAGGGTCCGGGGTGCGGAGCAGGGCAGTTCCCCTGGCAACACCAGGACCTCTGCAGTGACCCTGGGAGGACCACACACAGGGCCCAGGCACGTGGGGCCCGGGGGGCTGTGTGCACATGCGTGAGTGTGCGGTGGGCTGCGTGACAGGCGAGCAGGGGCAGCACCTTCTTCTCGTACACGTCCTGCCACACGATGTTGGCGAAGAAGCGGTGCCGCATGATCTCCTTGGCGTCCTCGGGGCCCCCGCCGAGCCTGGGCAAGGGGACAGCTGAGTTGGCGCTGCAGCCACGTCCTACACCGAGACCCGGGGCCCTCAGGGCACACGAGGGCCATGCAGGGCAGGGGATCTGAGGCCCCTGAGCTGCCGCAGCCCTGGGTGCCCAGCCCGCCCCAGCCCTGGCGGCCCCCAGCCCAGCACTGCTGCCCTGGGCTGCAGCTTCCGGAGCGTGGCCGCGGCCTCACCTCTGCCGGGGGTCCTTCTTGAGCAGCCCAGCGAGCAGCGCCCTGGCTTCGGGGCCGAGGGTGCGCGGGAAGCGGATGTCCTCCATGAGGATGAGCTCGAAGAGCTTCTCGTGGTCCTGGTTGTAGAAGGGCAGGCGGCCGCAGAGCATCTCGTACATGACCACGCCCAGCCCCCACCAGCCCACGGCCCTGCCGTAGTCGTTGTCCTCCAGCACCTCGGGCGCCAGGTACTCGGGCGTCCCGCAGAAGGTCCGCATGGTGGCGCCGTCCTTTATGCCCTCCTTGCACAGCCCGAAGTCCGTGATCTTCACGTGGCCGTCCTTGTCCAGCATGAGGTTCTCCAGCTGCGCAGGCGGGGGGAGGGTCAGCCCCCGCAGGCCCGCCCCTCCCCC